TGAAAAGGACCTTAAAAAAGGCAAGTATGTGATTGCATGCATGTCTGCTGCTTCCATAAGGTATGGACCAATCCTCTGTTTCATCTCAAAAAATCTATCTACCTCGAGATTCAGACAAAACATAAATATTACCAATTTTTGAAAAAAAAAGAGCTGACAAAAGTAGTTGAGAAAGGAGTCATTAATTATACAAAACCATAATTAAATACCTATCAACAAAATTTTAAAGAAAACTAATTAGCAGACTTGTTAGATTTCCAAACTAAAGGAACATAGAAATCACCTTTTTGTTCCTTGCAAAGTCCATTTACAAGATTAGCATAATTCACAAGTCACTCTCTCAGAAAACAACACAAAATTAGTGAATTATAAACACTCTGATAAGTAGTAAGTCAACTAATTTCCAACATCTTCCCAAAAAAGTAATAAAACAAGACATCTCACAAGACCTTACACTAGTTTGGGTAACTGCTTTGTCATAATTTAAAGAGAAAGTGTTTTGTCCTTTTGGAGAGGAAATCAAGCCACTGTCAATAGATATTTCCCCACACATGTACTAAATCTTCCATGGATTTCACTTGTCTGCAATTGTTTGGTCATTTGATTAAAGACTAGACTGATGAGGATTTGATTTATTTTAGAGCCGAGAGTTTGAGAATCTTTATTTGAACCAAAATAGAAAAGGATTCATGGTTTATTTGCAAATCTTTATTTGGACCAAAATAGAAATCGCCATGAAAAGAGTTAGGAAGAAGGGAACAACGATCAAGAATCGGCTAAGAAACGTGACGAAAAAAGGAATGAGTAGTTCTCGGTTTCTATTCCTCTAGATTAGAGATTCTTACGAAAATGCACATAACTTCATAGCCAAGCTTATCATCGTTTCAAACCTTTGGTATCATGAAACCTGCAAAAAATATTTCACCGACTTGTTTCTGGCTCGATCTTTGGCTCGTCCTTTATTTCTTATCACATCATCTCTCTTAGTGGCCAAGTGATGTGATAAGAAAACATGGACATGGACGAATCAAATATCGAACCAAAAACAAATCGATGAAATGTTAATTGCGGATTTCAGAATACTTGAAAAATGGAATGAATAATTCTCAGTTTCTGGCACTAAATGGTAACACACATTCAACAAATTCAACAGATTCAACAAATTYTGCAAATTCCGCAGTTACCATTTAAGTTACCATTT